CCCTCCTCGTCCTCCTCCACATCACTCAGACTTTTATCTTCCTGAAAGCCCGAGCTTGCGAAGCTCTCGCTGCTGGTGATGCTGGCCAGCCTTTGTTTTTTGCCTTCTACCGGCTCAATACCCTTTTTCTCCTTCATTGGCTCTACTTGCACAGAGGAGTCCTTCAAATAAACAGAGGAGAAGAGGTGCTACCTCAGACCAACGGAAGAGCACGCTCCACATCACTCAGACTTTTATCTTCCTGAAAGCCCGAGCTTGCGAAGCTCTCGCTGCTGGTGATGCTGGCCAGCCTTTGTTTTTTGCCTTCTACCGGCTCAATACCCTTTTTCTCCTTCATTGGCTCTACTTGCACAGAGGAGTCCTTCAAATAAACAGAGGAGAAGAGGTGCTACCTCAGACCAACAGAAGAGCACAGGGTAGGAACCAAATCAGACTTTTGCCTCGTTTCCGCTGGGAGAAAATGCTCGCCTCTGACATGTGTTGGTCGATCTCCCCGCTTCGCTTGAGAGCCCGACGTCACTGTGGCAAGCGTGGCTGCTGTGGGAAAAGGCTGCCTGTCTTCCCCACCTCCTCTATCCAGTGGTTTAATGTTACGGTCAATGAGGATTTAATGGGAAACATGCAACACTTCTTGGAAAATGTTATCCCACTGCTGCCCGGAGAGCAGCCTCGCTGCTGGGCCATACCCTTGCCCCTTCTGCCCTTCCATCTCGGCCTGTGAATACTCCAGCCTCTCGAGTATGCTGATGCAGAGCCCCTGCTCCCTCCTGCTAGCTCAGAGGTCCTTCCGAGCAGTGCCAGAGCGCAAAGTCAAGGCTGTCCCCTCACCAAGGGAAAGAAGTGTGTGAATCCTCCCAGGCAAAGGGTCAGCCCGGCACATTTGTGCTCCCCACCGAGCTGCAGGCTGATTATGTGAACAACCATATTTTGAAGAGGGCAGTTGCTAGTTTTTATGCAGAGTCCGATGTGGACAACCTTGGGAGTAGGCTCAGTCAAAGCCTTTTAAAGATGGAGGCCCTCCCAGTGATGCCCTACAGCAGAGTTTGCAGAACTGTTATGAACGAAAACTAAGAAGCCTCCGAGTTTTTGGCACAGCTGAGTAGGGGTTTTGAGGACTACAGTTCTGGCTCTAGGGTCCTAAATCCCATGTCAGATCCCTTAATCCTTTGGGGGATTTTGCTGAAAGTGCACAAGTACAGATAGAGTTGGCATGTTTAGGTCTGGGTTTGTAATAAAGAATATATAGCAGATTTGATTCAGAGGGCTGAGGGATGTGACGACAAGACTCTAATCTCTTTTATTCCTGATAGCCCTTCTCCTCACACAATAGGAAGATTATTTGTAAATCTCTGAACATTAGGGTGTCTTGGAACATTAGCTTTAAACGACATTATTTCATTTGTGTTCCCAGCGGTACCGGAATCAGTGGGCAAAACCACTTCCTTTGGCTTCATTGACACAAGCCTCTGCAGTGACCCAAGCTCCGCAGGAGAGCATGTGGGGACGCTTTGGACTGGATTCACTTCCTCTCACTGTAGATGTCTCCATTTGAATTAGTCACATCAGGCTCCTTGCATAGTCAGTGGAGACAAATGAGCCCTTTCTTGGTATAACACATCCCACACCAAACTTTTAAAATAGATCAGGTGAACTGCACCCAAAACCACTTATTTCTCTCTTTTTGCTATCAGAGAATCTAAGGTGACAAGCTCAGAGGCTGATGTCTACGTTACAGACAAGTACGTTAGGCAAGGTGAATCCTTCCAGAGGCGACTGCCTCCTTACCTTGTTGGAGCAGAAAAAAGTCCTCTTGCTCTTCAGATAGTTTGATAAATTCCCATACTTGCAGTATTCAACAATCACCATCAAAGGCCCTAGGAAAAAGGAAAATACCTTTTGAGCATTATAAAGCAATATAGGGGAGTACTACTTCTGAAAAAAAAGAGGTGTCTTTCATGCCCATAGCTATAACTGGAATCCAGAATAATTAACAATACTCCTTAATGAAGAAGAAAGCTGTTTGGAGGACACTCAGCATGTTAGCAAAATAACAGAGTTTCTGAAAATTAGGGCAGGGCCTAATTTTTGAAATCTGGGTCATGGACATGGGTCCTGCATGTTCCTCCATCTCCTCTTTGGGGCAGTCTGAATTCCGACTGGAGTCCTGCAACCCACATGTGCCTGTTAAACTAAAAAAGGGGACATATCTAGAAGAAATAACCTCTCATATTAGCCTTTTAATTTTCTTAGTGGATTATACTGAAGGCTTTTACCAAAGTTGCCTTGTGATTCATCTTTCTGAGCCAGCAGCTGATCCCAAGGAACCCCTTGCTCCCAGTCTTTCCAGATCATGTTTAACTTGAGGTTAGCAAGGAGATGAGACAGAGGACAACAAGTGGCCCCTTATTCACTTTGATGTTAAAACCAAAAGAGCATTTAAGAAGAGAAAAGGTTTAATCACTTTGTAAGATGACTAGAAATCTCTTTTCTCTTCCTCTTTTTTTAACCAAGCAGAGAAAGAGCTCCAATACTTCAAGCCACTAACTTGACTTCTGGTCAAAAATCAAGGTGGCCAACTAACTTATTTGGAAGTGATTCAAATATATTTTCAGTGCAGTGCAGATTTTTTTACCTCCGTTCTTCGTGCAAGCTCCCAACAAATTCACAATATTGAGATGATGACCAATGTGGATCAGGATCTTCAGCTCTGTCATCAAAGCTTTGTATTCACTTGCTGTGGCCCCTTCTGTAAATGCAAAATAAGGTCAATGTGAAATGGTAGTGTATTGGTCCTGGTGAGCTATACCACTTCTTGTCACTTTTCACTGAAATAATGTCCATTATTGGATGCACTTCCATGTGTTGATGTTCTTTTTCTATTTCTCCCTGCTCAGCATCCTCTTACTTGCAATAAAACCCATAAAAAGAATTAGACACTCAACTTCCTCCCAGGAGACCCTTTTATATTTAGAACTGAGAGAATTTTTTCACATGAATAGTTTTGTAGTTTCAGCCAAAAACTGAAAGAAAAAATAAAAAGAGATTTCAAGACTTTAATTAACTCTATCTACAGTAGATTTCAGCTGACCTAGCTTCAGCCATCTAAGGGTTAGGCACTAGCCTGAAATAATTAAGCTCTCAACAAGCCAGTGGCAAGAGCAAGGCATTTCCAGAGGCTGATTCAGTTATGAGCTTTAGCAATTTACATTAGGAAGAAATGAACCAGCCTTTGGTAATGCTTGTCTGATTCTGTTCATTATACAGGAAGCTTAGATTTTTCTTAGCCTAGACCAGGCACCTAAGTTTTAAAAATGGCTAAAGTTAGGTGACTGAATCTTACTCTTCCTGATCATAATTAATATTAATAATAATAGTAGTGATGTAAGAAAACCCACAACTGAACCCAAAAGATTCTACCTGCTGTCGAGTGAAGATTTTCATTACTGCCAAACAATTGTTTTTTTCTGTAGAATTTCCTTTTGGTAAGAAAACAAGAAAAAAATCATTTTGGGTAGATCCAGAAAGATTTTTTCACCCTAGCAACACTGAAGAACAGATCAGTGGAAATAACATGGAGCTAGGTCTTAAAAGGCTTGCTTTTATCATCTGATTGGAAACAGGTTTTTTTTTTTGGTGACCCCACACAAAACATGTCATCTATCCAGTGACCTACTATTCATCTACGTAGGTGGTGACACCTCTTGCACCTCATGGGAATACTGTGAGGACAAATCCCCTGAATGACTGTGATAATCCTAGACAATCATCTAGTGAGGATGCAAGGAATGGGACAAGTCTCACCTAATTTCAGGTTCCCATAGTGAAGATGCCCACACATGACCTAGTCACCACAGGCTCTCTTCATAGTAGAGCAAAACATGTGGTCATCTCACCAAATGGAGGGATCTGCGTTAGGATGAGACGAAGCATTGCTTCTCTCCATTGACAATAAAAGGTGTGGGTGACCAGGTCAGGTGCAAGCATCTCCCCTGCACACATCTCACATTCAGTCGTATGAATCCCACCCACGAGTGCTTCTTGTGGCTGTCTTCTGCTCATCTATTCCAGGAGCAACTCTTGTTGGCTTTACGGAGCTGGCTGGCACAAGAAGCCCACTGATGTACATAAAGAAATGTTGAACTTGGCAGACCTCTCTGCCAGCCCATATATCTGTATGTTTTGCATGGTGGCAAAACAGTTCAGTTTCTAGAGGTCAGACAATGACCCAGGTGACAGACGGGCCATCTACAGAGACCAGTGAGACAGTGACAGGGGATGCATCACCGATGGTTATTGCCCCACTGTTGCAGAAGGTCTGGACAGGGACCAAAGGTTTAATTCCTTCCCGTTTTCCAAATATAGCTGTTCATTTGACACTAACCAACGGGGCATTTCTGTGCTTCTGGAACAAGAGAGATTGGAGGACACTCAAATGCAGTATTTAGCTGCAAATTTCCTCCTTTGGGATGATCCTGGATATCATAGTAGCAGGTACCACCTTCTGCTAAAGCATTTGACGTAATATTGTAGAACAAACTTTTTGGATATAATATCGATAAGGCACACTCTAAAAGGTGCAAGAACTGGCAGGTTGCTGCCAATGAGATATGATCTGATGAAGCCTATTTTAGGCTGGGTTCTGCAGAGGCTCATTGTAGGTCTGAGAGTACTGTACGTGCCCCTTCAGGGGCTGGAAATAAAAAGTACAGATTTTCTAATAACTCTGATAAGCAAGTAGGCAGCAGAGAAGCCAGGAGCTGCTGGGTAAGAAGGATATACTCAATCCGCGTTTAAATGCAGCCAGCTGAAAGCAAGATGGATTCAGGCCTTACCTACAGAATACGGGATGTGTCCTGGCAGAGAATGACTCTGAGAAGGGTTCAAGGATTAAGACAGATAAACAATGCAGCATAAGCTCCCAGGGCTATGCAAAAAGCCTGATATGATCCTTAGATATACGAACAAGGAAAAGCTAAATACATAAGAATGGATACCAACAGGACTCTGGGCTACAGAATTCAGCCGCTGCTGCTGCAGGCTACTACAAAGCATAATCCTGTTTGCTGACTTCCCAAGTCACCTCTTCAAATTGATTAGGGTCTTTGTCTTTTCTGCTCCAGTGAGAAATGGGTGGTGAATAGTTGAATAGCTGGGAAATGATTTCACTGCGGGAAGAGCACTGGTGTATGAAGAGCACTGCCAAATCCCTTACACAAGCTGAGTGTCAGCATCCTCACCACCAAGCAATGAGGCTGCGGAAGGTTCGAAAAGGACACACCTGCACAGCAATTTGAAGACTTAAACAACTCAATCTGTTTAGCTTTATAGAAGGACCTTCATGAAGAAAAATTACTGGGCATTATATAATCTAATGGTTCTGAAGTTAGAACCAGAAGCTAAAGCCAGGCAGATGCAAATTAGACATAAGGTGCCCATTTTTAACAGTGAGGTGATTAATCATTGAAACTAATGACCAAGGGAAATAAGGAATCTTCCACCTGAGTGTAGTCAAATCAAGGAGCGTGCCTTATGCTTCAACTAAATTTCACTTACTGTGCTCAGTATTGGGTCAATATAGCATAATCATACAACATAGAATATGCAGGAAATCTAACTATCCTTGCTGAGCCTACAAAAATTAGTCTTCCATTCTGTCCGGTATTTAAAGTAGTGGAACCAGATTTTCCGAAAAAATTAAGTAATCCTATTCTGAGTGCATCTGAAACTTCCCCCTACACCATGTAACATTTTATCATCCTTTTTACTGTGAACCTCATTTTTATTTCATCGTTCCACCATTTCACTGGAAAATTTAGGCTGATCTGAATCTTGGTGCGCACATTT